CAGGAAATGGAAAAGCTACAGACTATAAAGAGCTAGAAGCTTACAAAAGAAGTAGCACAAAAAGCCTTAGAATAAGATACCATCTAATAAAAAAAGTTCAAATCCTTGTTGCAATGTGGTTAACTCAACAAAATGCGCTGTTAAACGAATGGATGAAGATGACGAAAAAGATCAAGTAGTTGAAGATTCCGAGTCATGTGACGAAAAATCCACCGGAGAGCATGTACAGACGTCATATCATAAACCTAATGGTATATCATATTATCCCTCAACAATCCAAAATTCACCTTCTTTTACGCCAGATACCATACCTTCTATGAAACATAATAAACAACCACAACTTTTGCAACTTGAAAGTCGCCAATCTTTTTCAATTAATGATTTAATATTAAAAGATGCAGATGAGATAATGAAGGATCCTATTTTCTGTACCACGGGTGAAGGTGATATTTGTTTTTGTGATCCTGATAAAGAAGGTGAAAGGTTGATAATTTCTAAAGAAATTGTACAATATACGGCTTCAATTTATGACACTACTCTTCCATTAAATAAATCTTGCGGATTACAGCAAGATAGCGGTTATTGTGCTCAATCACCGCCTACATCATCTACCACCTCATCAACAGCTGATAAAAGTCGAAACCATCATTTTGATCTGAATTGGATATTACATACTTCGAGAGAGGATCCAAACTGTGATGATAATAAGTAACCAAATATATGCCGTTTTCCACGTGTTGGACATAGAATTAGAAAATACATATATTCGATCATTTAATTAAATAATCTTTTAATCATTTTAAGCATCTTTTCTTTTCCTTTTTTCTTTTGAAGAATTTTTAACATTCGGATTAAAATAGATAAATATTTACGGATATATGCGCGTACACGAAAGCATAGACTTATTTATTTTCTAAATCTTGCCTTTTTTTTTGTACATTTTTTTGTTTAATTAATTCCACACACGACATTACATGTTGATGGCATAATAGATCTAAATCCACCCAAACAATTTACACATCGCATGTATATATATTATTGTATATCTGATATGTGTATTCGATTATTTCGACAAATCAAACCATCAAACCTTCTTTTTCGACTCTTTTTTTTTTTCTTTTTTTTTTTTTTTTTGTATAATATAAAAAAAATAGGAAAAATTGAATGAACAATTAATACGATCCAAAAAAAAAAACAAATTTATGGCTTTATGTTTAATTTTTTAAATTCTATGAGGATGAGCAGAAATTTCAAAATAAATGACACGTACTGCGCGTATGTACATGCCTTACGTACTATATTAGATATATCCTTTTTTTTTTTTTTTCTATAAAACTTATTTAGATTATACAGTATTATAATATTTTAAATTTAGAAATAATCAAGAGCAGATAAAGTTTTACCTACATATTGATATTCTTGTGGTTTACATATTATTCGATACTTCTCTTGGTATTTATGAATAATTTAGTTCTTATACTATAAACTATTTTAAAAAAGGTAAAATGCAAGATTATATAATCAATATTGGCTAATTTGATTGATTTTTTCCGTAACTATAAAATACACCTATTGTGTTTAAAACCTTAAGATTTGCAAATCTGCGCAAAACGAAAAAACTAATTTTTATTAAAGGAATAAAAATTTAATTAAGATTAGGGTTGGGGGACCTGAGATTTTAGCAAGATATATAGTATATATTAAATTTTAGTAAAGAATATTTTTATTAGAGCCTCAAAGGTGGTTTCTTAGGCAAAATTTTGTGATATTAGTATAAAAATTGTGTTAAACACCAATAATGTATTTTAGTAAATCCAGATTTCTTTAAAAAAATATATATATATAAATTATAAAAATAAAATTTTTATAATTTTAATATAAAATTTTAAAATATATTTTTTGGATTTTTTTTTTTTTTTAGATTTAGAATTGTTAATAAAAGAGTATAAATAGGTTTTATAAATTTTAAAAAGAAACGAAAAAATCTCAATTTGATTTATTAATAATTTATATTAAATATTGCAAATTATAATGAAAATAGATTATGCTAAAAAAGGCTTAAAGCTTTTATAAAAAAAATAAATTCCAAAAAGAAAACTTTTTTTTTCTAACTCTAAAAAAGGTTTTAACTTTAATATTTTTATTTTTATTTTTTTATTTTTTTATTTTTTTTATACTTAGATGATCTTGCCTATCATTTTATTAAGAATAAGCTAAATTAAGCTACAAGTAAAATGCTACACTATTTACAGCAAACTAC